ACAGTGCACCGGTTGTTGAACTGTAGTTTCTCGTTTATTGAACGACAACTGTTTTTCAGTTTCTGTTCCTAAACTGAGAAGAGAAGCAATTCCCGTTCAAAGAACTGAAACCGTGAACTATCACAGATCTATTCCGGATGTATTAGATCACGCACAGTATGTCAAATATCTACGCAGAAAAAAATAAAGTTGGTTTAGAGTTGCAGTCTGAAATGCAGTATTCTGATGCTCTTTCCGATGACCACAGTCTAAACTATCACAACTTTCCCAAAAAAGTACTGTGAGTAGTGAGCATGGGTTAAGTTGTTCATGGTTCCATCCTGCGGCCCTGGCGCCGGCCTTATCGAATGAACCAGCTCAGAGGTGAAGATGGATGTCAGTTTTTAAACAGTTTTTAGCTGATTAGAAATCTATTTTTTCATCATACAATTAACAGACTATACATGAGTTATTAAGTTTCAGTTGGTGATCTGAGGGCAATCACAAATGAGTCATATAGTGAATCTATAGTGAGTATTGTGGTTGTCTTGCTTTAATTATTCCTTTTTTTTTGTTTTAATTTTATTTAATTCAACTTCTTAGTAATCAAGCACATGTTAAAGGAAAGATAATATTTGTCAAAGAAAGACAGCTGAAGCCCTATTATTGTTGACGTGTTTTAACAAATACTTAATAAACACGGCTAACTAAATAAAGAGAGAAAGATAAGCAAAAAGAGAAAACAAATGTACTGAAAGTTAAAAAAATCGAACGAAAACATAATAATTCAAAAGACGCATGTCGATTGTAATGGATAAGATCAGAAATGCCCAGGAAAACGGCAGACTAGAGCACATTTATATAAATTTGTATAAAAACTTCAAGAGAAAAAACGTTTCTTCTACTTTCAGACTGCTTGCAACTCTCTTTGAAACTTGGTGCTGTTCATAATTGTTTTCTATTTCAAAAAAATGAAAAAGAATTGAGTAGGAAAACTGCCGTTTGTTGAACACTGTCTATCTATCATGTATACTTGTATTTGATAAGTTTGTTGGCAGTACTAGTTTGACCCATTTTTCAGTCACAGTCGGTATGGATCCCATATCTCACAGCTATCGAAGGCCATTTTTCTAGCTACAGTTTCATTCAAAAACAATAAATACACATTTTACTCCTTTCAGAAATTTAATCAACTTCATGTCCTGTGAAAAGAAGCACTGAGTTACGAATAAATGAGTCAGTAATAAAGCAATTGTCACTGAATGTTGAACTCTGTTTACGTCGTAGGGTAAAGTCTTTGAGAAACATCTTAACTTGTACCCTACACTACAAAAGTTCTTGTATCCTTACGCTATCCTACTCTATGAACTTCGCATTCTACCCGAATATAGGGTGGGGTAGGATAAGGGCACCTCTGCACGCTTCTATTCCTGCCCAATTAGAATAATCCCCTTTAAATGAAAATATGGGTGATATATGTCCGAAAAATCTCTCATGCTGCGTTACTAAATAGTATACTATACTCTGAATGCATTCCAGACAATAAATTAAAACTGAGATATACCAATAAATATCATATTACGTATCATAGTGATGGTAAAAATTCTCATAAGCGTGGTTTAGTTGTTAAACTACCGGTGGATTCTTTCATATGTGGAAAACTCGTTAGCAAACTGAACGTTGGAAGCATGTATTATATATGACATAATCAACTATAATTGATTTGCATCCCATGTACGTTCTTGTTATTATGCACATTGCTTTTACTCACCAGATCCAGTCGCCATCGACCAGTTTTCGCCTCGATCTTTCCACGTAGGCATTGATGAAAACATTGAATAACACCTTGTTCAGGTAGATCCTACGCACGTCATTCAGTGCCAGCATTATTACTGCGAGATCGCAGTGTTATCTAATGCGTGCATGCATTCCCTCTATATGAACTTTCTCAATAAAAAAGTAATGTTTCAAGTTTAAAAACAGTTAGATTTGTGAGAGTAAGAATTTTTCTATCGCTAGAACGATATTTTCAGACGTTATTGCAGTGTCTAAAAATAGAAAACAGATATGCTTTATTCTTTACGTCTCACTTATTAAACGTAGAAATTATTCCAATACTGAGTGCCGATGAATCATCTCATCGGATCGAACTTCAAGGAAAAAATGAAGACTTTTGAGCATACAAGGCTAATCCAATTCGTTTTCTAGTTATTATATATATTGTTTCAGCAAAGCAAGAATGTATATTGAATAATTACACTATTTAAAAACATTATCAAAAGACAAGCAATTAAAAAAAATTTTGATTAGAAGCTCCTATATTTGTTTTTTAAAGCTCGCACATGTCATATACATTATGACAAGGCATGAAACACAACAACTGAAGCAGTAAGAACGTGGCTGAATCAAAGCCTAAATTTCTTAGCCAAACGAATAAAAGAAGAAATGTTTTTCTTCTTAATTAAAAATTGCCTAATTAAAAATCAAATTATGCAACAAAAGTATGACTCAACTCAATCGTAAATCTCCGAACAAACAAAACAATCACCTGAGGATTACTCACAAAAGTGAGATATAAAACGATCCATAAAAACAGGTGATATTCAATGAAACATGCAGAAAACAGCTTATATGATCTACGAGTTTTGTTCTCTGAATAATTCTTTGCGCTTAATAGTGATATATATGATACTAATTGTGAATATTAATATAACTATGCTAGAGAATAAATAAAAATAATGAGAATACACATAGGCTACCATCGAGCATAAAAGTGTAATTTCAGCAAATCTCTTGATTAATTTGAAAATCGTTTGAACAAATATTATTGACCTGTTATTGTTGATCCATGTATTTAATCTGGTACTTGAACTAACAAAAGTTCCTATTATCCATAAAGTTATTTTAAAAAATCCAATGTGAGGTGAATAATTAAAACAAAATGAAGCAGCATGAATAAGTAGAATTTGAATATAATGCATTAACAATGAATCGATATTTGTTCCATGTTGGATTCTTAGTTCTTCTCTTGAAAATGTTGCAGACGACAAAATAAAGGAAAACTTTTTGATTATTGAAGGATATTGAAATAAAACAAGAAAAAGTATGAGGGTAGAAACTGATAAATTTGTTTTTGTCAATGTTGTTTTGCTTGGAGTGTCAGAAAATTCAATTGATTGTGTATTAGTACAAATTGTTGTTGAAATAGATGGAATTATACATTCATTTTCAAAATGATATTCATAATTTCCACGACGTAATGTTTGTTGACAATCATTGCATTGAATTATCAATTCATCAAGCATATTTCGAATTAGACGGCTCGCTTTTGGCAAATACATGCTATCAGAATAAGGCATGCCGCCCAAACCAATACGACATATAGGACATCTCGACAATTGTGAGACACATTCGGAACAAAATGCACTATCACAACAGACGTGAGTGACAGGCTGATATAGCACATCAAGACAAATTGGACAAAATAATGAATTTGAGATATGCTTTTCGTCTACATAGGAATAATTTTGCGGTTTCATCTTTTAAAAGTATGTTTGCGCATATGAAACAAGAAAAATGATTTTATACAGAGACAGCTCAATAACATAACAACTGCCGTTGTTTTCTTATAAAAACAGGTAAGTATTGAAAAACAAATTTTCCTATTTGTTTTTATTCACTTGTGCTTGAAGGATTATTCTTTTTCCTTTTTTTGACTCATCTAGTAGCAATCAAAGTCTATGTGAATCATCAATTAAATCAATATACCGTAGGAAGAGTGCAGTTTGGGGGTGCAGTGAGCAGTTTTCTTCCGTTTCTTTCCCACACTACTATTATTTGATCATTTTCTTTTGTCTATATGGGTGATGCCCGCACATACAGACAGGTGATTCTATTTTCTTTTTAGCTCTTTCCTTTTCTATGTACCTTTAAAACTGCATTTTATCAAAAAGAAGCCAAGTGAATTTGATACATTAAGTTAATTTCTGATTACATATAATCAAGATTATTTTTCTAAATCTCTTTCTTGCTTTACTTCAAAAGAAAATGTATTATATTTTACCTTTGCATGACAAATTTCGGCTCATTCTTACCTGAGATCACTTTCATAATTAAAGAAAAACAAATGATCTCAGTTTAGAAAACGGGCTTGTTGCTCCTTTTTAACACATTGACTGCCGTATATGTCGAGTGACGTATTCACATCATATATTTCAGCATATATGATAGTGAATGTGTTAATAAAATATAGACTCCTAAGTTGTATATAATAAAAATTATATAAAATACATAGAGTGAAGTAAAAGTCTAAAACATTGTATTGAAATGTCTACATTAAACAAAAGTTTTCTCGTGTATCATATATTCGTTTTAAATGTGTTTTATTTTCTAATAATCCAGCTCCTTATCCAGTTTTGGATTTCTCATTACCAACATCATTACAAATTTCCAGTACTAACCTACACTGGAATGCAGCTTGTACATTTAGAAAGTTACCAAAACTATTTTATTAAAGCTACGGTATTTATACATGGGATGAATTCAGCATGAAATCGGATGCAGGAGGAATTGGTGTTGTATCAGTTACTATTAAGTGTACTAACAACTAGTTTAAGAATCCCTGTTTTAATAAAGTAGGAGCTACAAGCTACAAAGTTTTCATTTCACTTTATGTATTTTATACAATTTTTATTATATAGAGTTTAGAAATCTATATTTTATTAAAATAGGAGCTACAAGCTCGTTTTTCAAACTGAGATCACTTTTCAAAATTAATAGAATATGCCATTTCCAAACTGAGATCATTTTTATGTCTTTAATTATAAAATATGATCTCAATTACGAAGCTTCGCAAATTTCGTATTATATACTATATTAAAATTTTTATTTCAAAATAAACGATTAACAATTAGAGAATTAATTAATTTACTATTTATATCTGGTCTGACTATTAGACATTTCACTCTAGATCTCAGCATAACGATAACTATACTGAACTATAGAATATAAACTAGTTTAAGTCAACTCATCATCGTTAAGACTGTGTGTTGTAGTGGTTTTAACCATAATAAGTTGGATACAAATCGACGTATATAGAAAAATTTATCTAAATTTTGATATAAAATATTTTGGACGAGAGTCTCTCTTTCGTATAGTATTAATTCTTTTTTGTTTTGTTTTACTAGAGTAGATGTACAATGATGTTCGTGAATTTTTTCCTCCACGCTTGCATATCCATCATCAGACGGAGTCAAAGATGAATTAGATAAATCATAATCATCAGTATCAAACGGATAATTCATTTCATATGGATATAATTTTTTTTGTTCTTGTTTCAATTCATCGTCATAAACGAAGAGAGTAGCCAATTGCATATACAATACTTCACATTGTTGTTCTTCTTGTTGTGTATAATTTATATTTTCTTGTTGAACAATGTAATTATCTGATTGTTGTGTTACATTGTCAATACACTGTTCAATGGAACTAATTTGTGTTGTTAGTGGTGAATCTAGAACAGCTGAATTAATAACATGCTGTTTAGTGACGTAATCATCGACATTATCTAAATTAATAATCCGAAAAAGAATGTTGTGTTAAATCTATAGGTGATGAATATAAACAACAAATCATTTTTATACAAACCTGTCAGAATATGATCTAATACGATAATATCATTTCTATTATGATGTTTACATTTTATATTTGACTCTAATTCCCAATTATGGATATTGTTCGCGATTAAACTGACAAACTTACATGACGATTGTTGTTCATTAACATGATCATTTTTCAAAAATATATTTAAATTACCATCGTATTCGTTATATTCAAAAGCAATTTTTAAATATTGGGTTAATTCAAAACTTTTCCAAATAGTTTTCATCATTTTGTTCTTGTTAGCTAAAATTAATATGACAGACTTAATACTAGTGAAAATCATACACTAAAACTAACATGTGGGTATATGTTCCACTATATATATATATAGTTTGGACTCAACTGAGATACTTGATTAAAATCTGAATTGTATCTCAGTTGGGACATTACGATATATAACAAGAAAAAAATTAAAATCCAATAAATGGTGCGTTGAAGAACTAAGACCAAGAATAAAATATTAATGGGCCAAGTGTTTTCCAACAAGTTCAATAGTATTTGTTGTTATTACAAACATGTTTAAAACTTACGTGCTGAATCAGAGAGTGTAAACATTGTAGTTAGACATTTACGGTCAAGTTTTTTTTTCTCTTCTTTTGCTCAATTACAACTTCTATATTTATGTATGTATCTGCTTTTTTTCCACTTTTTTGTGTTCGTACCAGCTGCTAAAATAGATATAGTTTTTTTTTTCTCAACAAATTTTTTTTTTCCTGAGTGACGATGGAACGTGTCAAGATTTTTCTTTCGTATTATTCTAAGAGGATAAAGAGCGTAGACGTGTAGTAATTTTTCTACAAAAAAAAAAAATTGTTTCTACGCCCGTTCTATAAAAAAGAAAGAAAGAAAACTCTCGAAAATGTATCCTTCGTTCAAAAAGAATGTGGAAATGAAGAAAAAAAAAGGGAAAAGTGTATTTCTAATTGTTTTAAGCATCTTCTTTTGCTCAAATAAAAAGTAGAATAGTAGAATTTGTTGTACAGTAAGGTGTGGGAAAATGTATCGGAAAGATAAAATCAAGTGAAAAGTCTTGATCGAAGAATAATGTTAGAATGTAAATTATTACATTGTGATAAATAAGTCAATGAAACAAGTTGATAATGAGTCTTTATTCGGTATTTTGTTTGAAACAGACACACATCTTTCGTCTTTGATACAATTTCTGAGAGTATTCTGGTTTTTGAAAATATATACAAAGCTCTTTAAATATTTTCCTGGAAATAAAGTATCGGCAGAGAAGGAAAATAAATTTCTTTCGAACTTCGACAAATTTTATTTCTTTGTTTAAACTACTCTGTATATCTAATTATGTTGGTGGCGTTCATTCTGTAGTATGTTTGAGACAAACTGATTCAAATAAAAAATGAGGAGATCATTAACTCTTGAAAAAAAATGAGAGAAACTTAACTTTTTGATTTAGAATTTTAAATGTTGTAAATTGTTGTGACAGTGGGACTTTAGTTGAATGGTTTTCTAACAGTCATTGGAAATTCCAGAAGAGATACCATTTATATCAGAAAAGGGACAATTCTACTATGATAATATAAGTTTTTTCGAAATTTCTTAAACGCACGCTTTTTCTTGATCGCGATTCCATTGATGGAAGGGATTAATTGATTCAAACCTTGATGTGGATAGACGTCAGCGTATATTATATTTCTAATAGCGAGTGAACATCAGAATTTTTCTGATGAATAATAATTACCAGTTCGACTCACACTTGATACTTTTAAAGAAAAATAAATGTTTTTTTCGAAAAACTGTTTTAGCAAGTTCAGAGAAAAATTTCGATGAATATTTTTTCCATCCAAAACTTATCATGCTATACATGGTTCAATGCAGTTTGGCGAGTTGCTTCCGAATATCATTTTGTTTTTTAACAGGAATCTCTGGACGGAGAAAAATAGATTTTACTCGAAAAATCTAGGATTTTGGGGAAATCTGTAATGTGGTCAACCAGAAACATTTGTGCTGTCTATATGGATGCAGTTTATATCGAGGAACATTCAGGCAAAGTTTGCGGTGTTTTGAAGATGAAAGCAAGGGGAAACGCTCATTATACAGTAGGTGACAAAATTATTTATCCACCTTTATTTTTAATTTTTCTCTTCAACTAAAATACCTAGAGCAAATTGGAAAAATGTGTGAACATCTTAAAAAGTTTCCAATCTGATGTGGTGTATATAAAGCGCCCATCGAAATTTTTGAAATTAGAGTCTGTGGAAAACCAAAATCTCAGAAAAACACGTCCCAATTCGACCGAGAAAACTTTTATAAATAACTCCATTGTATAGAGCAAACATTTCTGAACAAAATGAGACGTTTCCGAGCTTTCTGTGGCATTCTTTCATGAAACAGCATTCAACTTACGAAAGGTCCCTTACCACCAAAATGAACGGTAAAACACAAAAGATATGCCCTCAGGGCCTTTCACAAGTTGAATGCTATTTGTCGTAGAGAGCTCGAGGATGTCTCATTTTGTTCAGAAATGTTTGCTCTATACGATGGAGTTATTTGTAAAAATTTTCTCAGTCGAATTGGGGACGTATTTTTCTGAGATTCTGGTTTTTACAGACTCTGATTTCAAAAATTTCGATGGACCCTTTATATACACCATATCAGATTAAAAACTTTTGAATTTGGTCACATCTTTTTTCAGATCTATCCTAGGTATTATGGTTGAAGAGAAAAATTAAAAATAAAGGTAAATGAATAACTTTGTCGGCCATTGTACGAAATACAGCTGTGTGGAAAATAAGGTAATTTGAGAAATCTTGGTTTTTCTCCGAGGTATTAAATTCAAATGGAGAACTTTCTTCACTGATCGATAGAAGAAGATGCTTAGATTCACAATCTGTATCGGTTTTATCTTTACTTACGTTCAATTTTAAAAATAAATGTTTTACTTTTTGTGTTTTGTGTTTTCAAGCTAGTTTTTAATTACGTGTTTTCCTACGTACGTAACGCTTGAAACAAAACTTTTTATGCCATTAAGTAGAGTATAGACTGAAGTATATTAAAAATGATTTGAATCTGAAAAAAGTGCATGTTCGACTTTTTGTCAAAAGTCCGCCTGGATATCCATTCTGCGAGATGGAGTCGAATGCACAGTGCTAATTACATAGATGTAGTTTACATAGAGCAACATTTGTGTAAAGTTAAAACACGATCGAGTTTGTGGGAACTCATTACCGATGTTAACACGATTTTCAGAAACGTTTTGAATGTGAAAAATAATTTTTTTCGATGTAAACTAAAGTTCAATCTAGATAATTTTTGTCCAGTTACCAGATCCAGACAATCCGGCATTGATATGGTTTTCAGTGGTCGTTAATTAGTGAGCAAATTTTCTCGTTCAAATTGTCTCGCTGTTCTTATTTTTATGATCATTAAATAAAAAATGGAAAATGTTAACTCCCTCTTTTTTGTCAAATATCTGCAGTGTCCACTTTGATTGTATCATGTTAATAAGAACAGATTTTCAACAAATTATATTAATTGTGAGTTATTATTCAATTTTTGTTTCATTTCTTCTAACCGTTTGATCATTATTGTTTTTATTCATATATCGAAAGACAGCATAATTAACAAATATTCTAAATTTGGAAGAAAAAAGTATGTAAGTAAAATAAATGATATAACAAACAGAAATAGTATGAAAATCAGCTGGATACAAAATAACACTGTAATCAAAAATCAATCAAATGACTAGAAATAGATGTAAAGATAAACTATTCGTTGTATCACACCGAATTACCAAAATAAATAAAATTTATTACCAAAAATTAGAGCATATCACGTGAATAAATATGTTTCTTATCTCTCTGAATCACACAATTCAAACATGTATATACATATCAGTACATACTTTCTCATGGGAAAAGTATATAAAAATAGAAATAACAATTGAACTCATTCTTGTCGTTGTACAGGTTCAATATTTAGATAAATATAATACACATTCGGAAGACAATCAGTTAACTATAAAAGAACTACGTAAATACATAACAAGTGTTTGAAAAATTGTCTTTTTTCAGATATACGAAAGTAAAAACTTAAACTAAGAAAAATTAACAAAATGATCCTGTCTTTATTGGTTAGCATTCGACTTCATTCAATTTAGTACATCAGATGTCCAAAAATTACGAAAAAAAAAGTTCGTGGCAAGTAAATGCTAGAAACTTGATGATATTTGACTTAAATTATATGGTTAGTAGCAAAACAGTAACAAATGACTTGTTGCTAATGCTAAGATTAAGAAAATGCCTTTTTTGGTAATATATTGTACATTGTTATTACAATAGTTGATAACCATGACCAAATAAATACGGCAAATATCCAATATTGACTTTGAAATGGTGATTGATTTTTAAATTGAATTTTTCTCACTTTTAATACTGTTATTCGTCTTGCATTATAGACAAGAAGAGCTGGAATAACATATTGAACAGCCACACCGGCATAACTACCTGTTATTCCCACAAGAAATTTAATATCATCTGTAATTAAACTAATAGTAAGTGGTGGTAATAATGTTAATAAAACAATAGCAATACGTTGTTTACGTCTCATAATTGTCGTTGGATAACATGATTGTACGATTGTCTGTAAGTTATTACGTAATGTGATTCCAATAATTGGAAAACTTGAACTCAAAGTAAACACTGGAAATAATGATATAAAATAAGCTAGAAAAATAGGAACATTTATTGATGCTGTTGAACAGTGGTTACTTGCTCGAAAATTTAATGTATATAAATCTTCAATAGTAGTAAATGTGAATACCGCAGTATACGACAATAATAGATAGAATAAGGCAATACAGATATAATCAGTTAAAAATAAATATTTCAATTTCTCTTTTGATTTAATTGGAGCGACTATAGATGGTATTGAATGATGACACATGAAACTGTAGACACATATTCCAAACAATGGAGGTAGACTGTTAATATTAAAAATTGTTGGACGAAGAGGAACGTAAGTCGATGAGGTCTTTTTCGATAAATGAACAATACACAAAATAATCATTGATAAAAATGCTACAATAAAAATACACTTATACCACTGCCTAAAACATAGCGCTCCTCAGCAAATATCTAACTTGGATTAAATTAGACAGTAGAAAATAGAATTAGTGAAATATCGTAAAAAATCATTAGATAGAGTACGGACGAGTACAAGTACAAGTACTTTAGAAAATGTTTGTACTTCAAGTATTTTTCAGCGTTGTAGTACATTTAAAGCTGTTGTAAGTGATATCCAGTAATACATAATACTAGATAGCGCGCTCAGATGGATTCGAAGTACTCTTTTCTTTTAAGTGAAGCTCAAGTACAAGCATTTTCTCTACTTGAAAAAAATGCAACTGGTATTTGTACTTCGTACTTTCGAAGTACAAGTAAAAGTACGAGTGTCCTGCTCTGTATCCGACACTGTTTCAATCATCAGATATGCTATATTTGAACTGAGATAAAAGACAGTCACACACACCTGTCCATCTGAATAATGTCGTTATAATTTGTAATAATTTTGTCTTTTGTGCATTTCCAAACACAAAAAGACCTAAGGTCAAAAAGAAGATAGTCTAAAAAAAATACATATTTATTTTGCAAAATTTTCTCAAACTGATGCCGATCACTTACAGCAAATATACGGTATACGTCCACTCTTGATAAAGAACTTTTCTCCCAACAACGATCTGAGTGTGTGATATTGGTACAATTAGTTGGAACATATGTGCTGAAATAAATATCAAATACAAAGAGCGTAATCGTCTAATTTTTTCTTTCTCCAACATACCAAATAACATCTCTTATACTTTTTGGTACAGCAGATCCATATATAGCCAAATCTCCATATAAATATAGACAAATACAAATATAAAAGATTGCTATGCCAGCTAGAAAAAGAGAATAAAATTACATTTGTTGTTGCACAAAGTATTTTTTCTGTTCTTTTACTTCTATTCAAAAACATCTGAGCCATTTGTCCCTATAAGGAAAACATTATTTGATAGAAAAAATCTGTTTTTAAATTTTGATATACAAAATTTATTATTTGAAATACAGTAACGCAAAAGAACTGTTACAGTTTTTTCTTAAGATGCATTCTTTTCACCTTCGCATCTCAATCGATTGAACTGACCATTTCGATTTTTTCATTTATCTCAAATCTTTGTACAATTGCTTGATGTTCTTCGTCGATTTCAGAATGTTGCACTTCTAAATAAATGAACAAATAAATAATTAGTTAAACATATCTGGATTTGACTGCTGGTATTCTCTAACTCACCATCATCGTTTTCGGCACTCAATAAAGCTGTTCGATCTGAAATATTTTCACCATCTGATCCTGGTATAGAATTCAATCTCTACAAAAATAACTAGATCTTCTAAATAATCGATTTAACGATAACGTTGAACAAAACGCACTTTAGCTGTGGCTCTTCTTGCCCCAAAAAGACCGTTAGCTAGGGCCATGGATTCGATCATAAATGTTGCTGAAACATAACTGAAAATCAAAAACAACCCAATTATATTTAGCGATCATATAGAAAAAAGTAATAACATACCTGAAAAATCCTAATATAAGCAAAAGTATTGTACTCAAGATATAGCCTCCTTCATGAAATGCTTTTGGTAATGCGAGGGCACCGGTACCAACGATAATGTTGAAAACATAAATCATTCCAGTCTAAATACAGTAAATAAACATATTCTTCTTGTAATATCAACTTTTTTTTGAAACGTACACTCTGAGAGAATGATGCAGTTTCTTCTACTTTTCGAATACTGGTAGATGGTAACATTTTTTTCTACTTCTTTTCTAAAATGATTATTTAATCTTAAAAATGAAAATAGAGTTGAGTTATGTCACAAAATTTCTATCAGCAACTGTTACAAAAATTTGATTTGATTTATATTCGTTTTTTCACAAAAAAGATTTTCATAATTAAGAAAAATGTTTAGGCTAATTTTGACCGATTTTAAAAACACTCGTTCTTAAATAGTTCTTTCATTTATTTTAAAAAACGATAGGTTGGATAACAACTATTTGTTCTTGTTATTTTGTAATAAATTAATATTAAATTTGTAATAAATTTTTTTTCTATATTAATTTATTTAATAAAAACTTGGAACACTTCACTTGAGATAAAGAGAAACATACACCACACACATGAAAATAGAAAATACAATAGAGATAATGTTGGACGGCCTTGTCTCAACACAAGAAAAATAACATTGTTCTATGTTTATATACAAAAAAGTCTACTACGACTCAGAAAAAAAAGGGATTTCTATAAAGAAAGAAAACACATTAAGTGTTTTAAGAGTAACAGTGGTTACTCTCTACTGTTGAGTGAGAAAAGAAGTTTGAACAAAAAAGAGCACCAAAACATAATATATTAATGGATCTGTAAATATCTGTTCATTGGTAGAAAATACAGAAACCAACTACGAAATGACAAGAAAATACACACACAAATAAATAGAAAGCAAACAGTGGTAGATAGCAATCATCGTCGTAGAAAAACAACTGTTAATAGACCTGAAACAATACAAAGATAATAAATAATGTGAAATAAAACAAGCTTAAATGTGCAAGAAGTAAAGAGGGATACTATCTACTATTTTTTGATTACCTAAGATATATGATGCAATCACTTTGGAATTAACACTCATGTGAAGATAATGTGGTACTCTTGTATTTGTATTTTCTTCTGGTAAACCAGGTAAAACTAAGATAAAAGCTGATAATAAACCAATTAAAGTCATGAAAAACACAACAATTGGATCTCCTACAAAACCCAAGATCATTGTATTTCTTTTAAAAAACTCAACAGTTATCCACAACTTACGAATATCCTGTGTTAAAACATTGGTAGAATTGGTGGATGCTAATGATTGAGTAGGAGAAGAAGACAACGAAGATCGAAGACGTCCTGAGGAATTAATAACATTGTCATCATCAAAACTTTCTTCCAAAGGTTTATAGGGTAAAATCGTACATGTTATATCTCTTTTACCTAAATAAAATATACTGCATAATGTAAAGTTCGAGTATTAAAAGAAAGGAAGGCTAAGGTACCAATAAGATCTTGGGGTTTTCGTCTATCATAGAATTTTATTCGAATTTTATGTACAATATTTTGATTTGATGAGGAAGACGATATGTCAAGAAGTCTGACGACACTGTCGACTGAATGTTGTCCACGAATTTCGCCTTGCGGTTCGGCTATAAGATATTTTCTTGGTGCTGTACATAACACTAAAACATGTAAACAGTTTATAACAAAATAAATGTGTAAATAAGAGTAGGCAAACCTTTATATTTCACAGGAAATTCATACGGATTATAAATTGTTAAGATTTGAGAAGACGATGTTGAATCATCCAAATAGAATAACAATGAAGTTGACGAACAAAAAAACGGAAGTTGTAGAGCATTAGTCGAAGGGGATTGCAATGACATTAATTTAAGACATCTAGAACAACAATCAAATAAAATAAGAACATTAACTTGTTGAAAGGTAATACCCGTCTTAAACCGCACGTTCAAGTTGGATCAGCACCAATTATTGCTTAAGTAAACTGCAGTCAAATTGAGAGCAAAAGGAAAACCAGATTGCAACGAAACATTCGTATATATATTAGGTGATATGCCTAGAGCTCAGCTGATTTATCAGCGAATGGAAAAAGGCAATCAGACCAATTGAAAACATTTCTTAAAATAAGCTGAAATCGTTTATTAATAAGAGGTTTATTCTGTTCAGTTAATACATAAAAGTCAGTAGGCTTTGTCTTTGAATGAAAATCCTACTGAAAACTTTTCACAGAGATTGCGAAGATGCGACATCTTACGAATGACCGGAACCAAGTGCTTTTGCAATTTTCATAAACATTTGCATCTCACAAGTGCTAAAAACAGAGAGGAAAGTAGAAATTCACTTTCTTGATGTTTAAATCTATGAGCTTACTTTGGGTCTCATATATTCTTACGTCTGGAAATATAATCGAATTTATAGTAGTACATGACTCCGAGAACTATATATCTTCAAAGGTTTGGCTCTCTGTCGAAAATCTTCTAACTGTTTTGTAGAACAGTGAGAGAATGTTTCTGTTAGTAACTAAACGCAGGATTACATCGTAACATAATTATAATATTTCAGTACCAATAAAGATATAAAAAGATGTAGATTTTTCATTTTAGAACTTAATTTGTTCTCATTTTATTATTATTTTTGTTAAAAATCGAAATGTAAAATGTTTCACAAATCATTTTTTTTTTACTGAAGACGACATAGCAAGTAATTGAAAAAAAATTAATGAACGGAAAAACCGCATTCTTTTTAAAATATAATAAATTTGTCTTTTTTCTCTACGCTGCCCGTTGGGGCTAGCATAGAATAATATAATGATATGATGATTATTTTTGTTGCTGTTGTAGTTGTCGTCTCGTCCCCTGTTGAATGTTGAAATTGTTATTCAACAACAACTTTGTAATTTATAATTGCTTCTTCATCTAAAGCCTTTAATACTGTAACTTTTAATTGTTCACCATTCTTAAACTTTTCATAGATTTTTGCACCTAAATCATGATCAGTTTTCAAACGTAAATCACTTCGTAGTTGACATGTTGCTTCATTCATCAAAGTTAAATATTTATCTTTATCAATATTAACCAATAAATAATCCGTTTTTTTAACATTTGGTGCTTGAACGACCTGACCACACGGGCGAACTTCTTCTATACGTTTACCTGTAAAAAGATCAATGCCAACTAAACGACTCTTGGCGTGACCGTGTTTGCCTGGTTTCGAGTGAGCAACCTCAACAACTTTATAGGGACGAGAATTCAATACAATAAATTGAGATACTTTGATGTCTCCAATATCGACTGGATAACAATCATCATTTTCATAATCATACCGATTTAATGAGGCGATTGGCTCGGCAAAATTGAAATCAATCGATGTCATTGTTTAAGAGCTAAGAGACTTTTGGTATAAAAGTAGAATATTTTAATATATAAATAATATATAATATGTTAGTAGTTCACTTTTCTGTAATATATATTGCCCGACAAATATTTCAGAGAATTGAGTAATACTTGCGAAATTAATAGGCAACAAAGAATCTTTTTGCATTCAAACACAGAAAAAATTACATTTATGTACCACGAGATGATTATCTCCAAAAGTTTCACAATTTGGATAGAAATTAACCTATAACAAGACACATTTTAGAAGTTATTTATTAGAAAAAAAGAACGAATTTCATCATTTCTTTAGCTTTTTATAAAAGATCTGTAGAGGATTATGGTTTTCGCCAATTGACACCCAAGATTCTGGAACATTATTTGATCGAAAAAAGTTTTCAAAATCTTATTCTCAAGCAAAATTTTGAGAAGCTCTTTGGAAAGCTTGTTTATAATTCGACAATCTTAAATACCAACACTTTTGTGATTTTTTCTAACATTTATCGATTAAAATTTCACTGTTTCAAACAATTCACTTCAGAAAATTAACCTTTCGTAATAAGCTTTGGAACGGCTACAATCTCTTGCAACAAGATTCTAAAGTGAAATAAAATTAGAAACAAAGCTATGCTTCTTCATGAGATAAGTTTTCTTATATATTGGTGCGAACGGTAGAGACTATTGTAATGCATTGAAACTACACTATAAACCATGTATGTAAGCCATGTGTAGTAATGTAACACGTGGATTAGACTTGCCACTTTTGTACACAGTTGTTCACCTAATTCTAGGCGCATTTTCGTTCTTAGCGCGAAATATAAGGAATTTAATTCTTTATAAGCAGTGTATTTAACTTTATATTCTAATCAGAATTATAGAAATGGCGTTGGAAAGTCGAAAATCTCTCGTCTTAAAGCAAAAAACCAGGTTAAATCAGCGCACATCAGACCATTTGAAGGTTGTATATTTATAGGTGTTAAATATATATTTGATAAAATCAATGTAAAGGATAAAAGGTCACTTCAGTAAAATTAATGGCGTAGTTAATTATAATTATAGTTCTGGTAATGCCCTACATTTTTTCTTTTTCTTTCGTTAAATATAGTTTGTGAGATATTCTAAGAATAATTTATCCTACTAAAGGTATTGTGCTATGTAAATAATATCTCATTATCTTCGAAATTATACAAAACATCTCACCAAGTTAAAAGCATCTTGTTAAATGATTATTTCGACGAGTTAGATAAAAGGGGGACGGTAAGAGCTGAGTGTGTAATCTTTCAGAGAAAACCTTTCACCTACATTTTTCGGAATCATAGGTGTCTCTGATTATTTTTTCATAATTATGATGTGCATTGAATGCAGATTCTATAGTAGAAGAGCGACCCTTAGTACTTCATTCTCGCTCTTCTACGTATATTTCAATCGTGAGTGCGAGTCCTCAATGCATTTCCAGAACCACCTTAACCATCATACTTTGACTGGACAGTCTACAGTCGTTGAAGAGCATTTGCTGTGAGTTTGACGTCGAATTGATGTTCCTAGAATGAGTTATGAATTTTTCTTGGAACAGACCTTACATCTCAGAACCTCATTTTCAGGAACTTCGCCCGTAAAATAGCTGTATTTCACTAACTACTAACAGCCAACTCACAAAATATTATATTGTAGATAGAGTAGAGTCGTGGCTAAATTTTAGTTAAAAGAAAAAGTTTTCATCTCTCTTAGATCAGGAGCTATTGATATTTTACGGAAAAGACATAAATTGCTTATATCTCACGAACCATCTAGTAAAAGAGGCCCAAACTTGGTGGGTGATCAGCATTCGGTAAGAGCTATGATCACACAAAATTAGAAGTCCCTGACTATCATGGTTCTTGAGTTAGAAGGGAGTCGCTATTTTTGTGGTACCGTAACGCCTGCTTTTCTATGTTTTTGTGACCACAATACAAGGATGTGTAATATAAATTTGATACGAGGTAGTGTTAATTCTGTTGATAATATAATGAGCAGCTAAAATATCATGTTGACTGACATTGTAGTGAATAGATGGCATAACAGCTGTACAAAAAATTGAAAATTAAATAATAAGTACAATTGTCAACGACACATATAAAATTATTTACTGGTTAAAATTTATATTTAGCTCGTGGTTGTGCTCTTAAACTATATTTGCCTTTTTGGTTTAATCCTAAAATTACTTGTTGACTAACTATATTATGACTATTTATTTGACTATTATGATGACTATTATTATTTGAATTTATTGTTTTTGTTCTAAAAAGACACATGATTTTTCCCCTATCCATTTACTGATACTAACTTTCCATTGATTACATATCATCCGTTTATTATTATATGGTTTATTTGCTATTGAATAAACTGCTTCTAATACTTTTCTACGATGTTTATTTTCTTCTCTATCAAAACTTAAACTTTTCTCAAATTGACTACTACAACTACTATTATTAACTAACAAATGTTGAACTATTTCTGACTCATTAACACGATGATATTTGACATTACTCATATGTTGTTTGTGACGTCTTTCAAAATCTTCCGTTTCTCCGACATAGATGCATCCACATTTGCCTGGTATACCATAAATAGCATTTTTAGCAAAAACTGTAGAATCTTTCTTCTCAGCACCAAGATTATTGCGTGCAATTAATTTGGTTTTATTTAAAATAGAACCAATACTTTTAGAGTGTTGTGTAAATGTTTTCTATCTCCTCATCTATACACAATTTGTTCGTCGATCTTTGAGTATCGATGTATGATCTACGATTTTTGTTATAGGGTCATTTGAATGAGTGTTAAAAGTTCAAAAAATAGTCAGTAAAATAAGTCTTAAAGATAATATTAATAGCTTTAACTTTCTTTTGTCTAACTCAAATTGTAGTCTCTTTTTTGGCGTTGAAGATATTTTAGCTTTCATATTTTTATAAACTTTGACGATTAAGTGTAACCTTCTTCTTTGGGTCTGTTTTCCTTATATAATTAGGGTATGAAATAAGTTGAAGCTATTGAATCATGAAGTGTTTGAAACCGAAACATGAAAGGAACATTGGCACGTGGTCAATAGATCATATTCCAGTTGTATTTCAGACTCTCTCAGGTTATCTCACGCCTGTCGAGATCTCTCAGAAATCTGATGATAAACCTTAACTGTAATAGATGAAGAATCCAAATAATTCATACTTTGTAAAGACTACCTTAGGCTATCCACCCATGTGAAAATACAATATATTGCTATTTTAGATTTCGAAAATTCGAATGAGTTCACTCACCAAAGATCCTCTCAAAGTCATACATTTAACAAAAATTTTAAAAATTTTTTCCTTCATGAAAAGATCTGGGCTGTTGAAGACTAAAGACCGCTGGCCTTCATTATCTATCTATTAAAAAGTTATTCAACCATAACATTATACCATATTTTGTAACCAATAATGGTGTAATTAACTTATTGTTTCAATACCGTTTTTGTCTTTTTATGTATGACTCTAATAATCAATTATATCCCCATGTGCTGAAATATTTCTGAGTGAAGAAGACCAAAAGTATATTATTTCGAGCTGTATCTTTATGTTATTTCTCTAATCAAGGCACATAATTTTGCTTTGGCTTCTTGTTTGTTGATTATTTATGGTGAACAGTTGAACAGCTTCATTCCATGGAAATCAATTGTGGCTGTTTAAATATGATCATTCAGGTATCGGACTATACGAATACATCTACTGCATACATTCAAAACAGACAAACTGATTCAATACAATTCGCAACTAGTGCGCAGCACAATTGCATTCTAGCTTTTGTTTATTTGAGTTTTGAAAACTAAAGAACCACTCAAAATCGTTTTTCTACTTTTATATCGTTTGGTGGTAAGACAAAATTAACGTTCTACATGGTAATGACTACTCTCTTTCCGAAAATCGTGATAATTATTTACCAATAAGTTCAACAAATTTGTATCAATTATTACTCACATTATTAGAAAAATAATTATATCGTCGATCATTCTCAATTCACTCACTTAAGGGCCCCCCACCCCTCAAAAAAAGCATTTTTCAACAAAAAACTCGATTTGGACATTTATGCATAGTTGTATAGCCCAATATATCTGCTTTCGAATACACTATGATTTATTGGTTCTACGATGATTTTTGAGAGTTTTACAGCGGTTTTTCTGAGGCACCCAACATCAAAAACTGATTGATTTTTATGGTTTTAATAACGCTTACATATGGCAAAAAGTACGCCACACATGTGTCTACATGTGCTCATTCGATTCGCCATAGCCGATAACCTATGACGAACTGCTCTCAGACTTTTTT